CGTTTATGCTACTAGTCTGTACGCAGAGATCAACCTTCGTAGGAGTTATAGAAGTGAGAGGATCCTTATACTAAGCGATAGTCAAGCAGCACCTACGTCTCTTTCATTATGCTGATAACAACGCTAAAATAAAGGAAATGTGTAAGCCGATCAGTTAGTCAGAATGGCTGCAGTGTCGGTCCCGAAAGGACTTGAGCGCTTCCTTGCGGTAAAGCCTCACACGATAATGGAAGCGCTCAGAAAGGAAAATACCAAACTGAGGGAAGTGCATTAGCGAAATAACATGAATCTTTGTCAAGCTAAGAGCCTACTAGGGGGGCTATAATATAAAGAGGTATAGACATTTCATAAATCTCTCCGAAGGGAGGCCAAGAACTATTACATGCATTTTGGTGGGTCATTGAAGGCTAAAAGGCCCCTCTCATAAGCTGCTCTAATCAAGCGATCTATGTCGCTTTTGTGTCTACACCGAAGATACATCATTGCAACCTCCCCCTACCGTCTAACGGAGTAGGGATAGGTCCTTAGAACATATATAGCCAAGAGAAGAGCAAATGCACTCCCTATCCCTGGGATTTTTTCTAAAATGTTTAGAGGCTTTAGGGCTATTTATATCCACCTAACAGGGCTGCATGACGAAAACTAGGAAACTCTCTCCCAAAAGTATCTACAAGTCATTTAATACAGTCGTGAAGCCATTAGTCACTTCCGCGTCAATGGCATCGTGGGGTAACAGGGCGATTCTGGCTAAGATAGTTGCAAGTAAGATAATTATTATCAATTATAATTGAAAGACAGTAGACAAGATGGTTTAAAAGGATTCTGTTTATTCTGACACGACAGTCTTACCAAAAAAGCTACCTTACCAACTTTTTTGGTGAAAAGCTCTTGTGGCAGAAAGCAATTTTATATAATTTTGCTGGTAAGCCATTCGAGAGATCCGAGGTGGAGTTCTCGGACAGCGGATTTTTTTTATTGATTTTTGTTTGAATTTTTAGATTTTTTTTAATGTATAAATATATTTCTTCAATTTAATTTGATTTTTAGAAACTTATTTTAGGTATATTTCTTTTGATTTAATTTTTAGATTTTATATCTATTTTTAGATTTTTTGTTTTTTAATTTAATATTTAGATTTAAATGTTAAAAAAAAAAAAATTTTTTGTTTTTGTTTTATTTTATTGAAAGGGACTTATTTCATTTTTTGCTACTTTAATTTAAATTTTTTAATTGCATTTTTTAATTTTTTTAATTTTATTGCATTAAAAATTTTTTTATTAAATTAAAAATAATGTCATTTGATTTTTAGAACCTTATTTTATTTTATTACCTTTATTAATTTTTTTTTCTTTTTAATTTAATTGTTACATTTTATTGTTTTAAAAAGAAAACTATTTTGCCCATTTGATTTAAATTTTTTTATTTTTTACATTTTTCTTAAATTTTAGACTTAATTGCTTTAAAAATATATTTTTATTAAATTAAAAATAATTTCAAACTTTTTTATTATATTGCTTTATTGACTCCATTTTTTCCTTTTTTAAATAAATTTTTAGATTTTATTGTTTTAAAACGGAAACAATTTTGTTTTTATTTCATTAAATTATAACAGACTTATTTTTTTTTTTTGCTTTTTTAATTCAATTTTATTTTTTTAATTTTTAGATTTAATAGCATTAAAAACAATTTTTTATTTCATGTAAATTTTTTATTAATTTTTTTTTCCTTTTTTTATTTAATTTTCAAAGTACGGCTAGTTCATTGGTATGACAGGGCAACATGGACTTGTCTGCTGATGCACCCAGTCCTCTAGTGGGTGTACCGCACATCCCAATACTAATAGAGTGCGAGGCCACCCTTTCGGAAATAAGGATCCTAAATACCTCCGAATTAAAACCCGGATATAACAGGTCCCATGAAGGTTCTAGTGACATTCATAAATAAATATATAAATAGTGAAATTCATAAGTTTAGGCGTCCTCCATGCCCTCGAACTATCAGTTTTTACTTCATGGAACACAGCCTTTCTGCGCTATCACCTCAGTAAAATGAATCTTGCAGACATGAACGTCTGTCTGCCCATTCTCGCCTTCTCTGGTGTAACTTTAAAGTACCCCCTGTCACTTGCTGCCTGGCAGGATATTGCTCTGATAAATGTGCGCACCTCAGAGGTGAAAACTGTACTTTAGTTTGTGACTTTTCCGCGTACCACGATCATTGGCACTCAAGCGTGTCAAACGACTGTAGGGCAATACACTTGGCTGAGTAGATAGACGCATGGGCGTAGCCAGGTAGGGGCAGGGAGGGTGCTCGAACCCCCCCCCCCCCCCCCCCCC